AAAAAAAAAAAAAAAAAAAAAAATCAGGAACAAGAAGTTACAGGTACACAGTTTAATATTTTACACTGTATAGTACAGCATTTCACACTATATTCAAAAACAGGAAAAGGAAGTTACAGATGCACAGACAGCCAAGTAGCTATAAGAACTTGACGTATTGCATTTCCTGATATTTGTGGGGCCTAATTCTCAAGCATGCCAATGGCAAAGAAGAGAGCTTCAGCACTTTCTCTGAAAAAAAGAAGACAAAAGCTAGTCTTCTGCAAAGACTCAGCTCTGATTTAACTCAATTCAACAAATATGTATGCAACAATATATATCTGTTGCATACTGTATACATATCCGTATATGATATATATACAATGTATAATTGTATATAATTATATATTATATATAACATATTTATACAATATACCTATCTACATAGAATATTTATATACTGCACAAAATATAAAATGTATACTTTATATACTGCACAAAATATAAAATAGTTTTAGCCACCTTCTGATATTCTACATCTCAGTTTTTTTTAATAACAAATTTTCCTTTGGTTACAAAAATTTTAACTCTACAGGAAAGTATAAGGAAAATAAAAACCACACTTAATCCCATCACACAGAAATGAAAACTGTTATCTCCTTACAAATCTTTCCCAAGAACATGCACTTTATTTTTACACAAAAATAGTGATCTTAGCCGGAACATAAACCCTTATAACCTTAAGCTGTCTTTCTCCACTTAATACATCAAAAACCCTTTGTTTATTTAGGTTGATATCCTTTTTAACAGCACTAGTACTTGGCTGTAACATAATTAATACCCCTTGTGAAAAAATATGCACTTTGCTATCAATTTTTTCTATCATAATCAATGCTAAAAAAATCCTTATGTATATATTTTTTGGTGCTTTCTGATTATTTATTTGGGATAACTTCCCAGAAATACAATTCTTAGGTCAAAAGATACAAACAGAAAGAAAAAAACAGAGAAAGAACAAAAGAAAGAATGAAATAAACCCATTCATGCCTCTAAGGGTGACAATACAGTGTGGCAGTTATAGATTCAGGCAGTCCTGAGATGGCAATTTCACTGAAAGCAACACTAAATAAACTCCTGAGCAAAACCCCCAGAAGATGTACATTCTGTATCAAAACTGCAGCCATGACCAAAAACAGATACAGGAAGTTGACATCATTCTATCACCTCTACAATTTAAAATATAAAATGAAAATAAATAAATAAATAAATAATATAAAATAAGCCTTCATTCTCCCTACAGGTTTCTAAACTATTTCCTTATATTCCCAAAGGTCGAATTTTAATGTTAACAACTTTGTGAATAAATAAAAACCACTACTTTGGTATTCTTTAAAATGGTGAATCTCACAGCATGTGAATTCTATATCTAGGGAAAAACAGTAAAGTGTCAGTCTCCAATTTGATGTAGTGAAAGTAGGTATCATCATAGGAAATTTCTCTAGGGGAAAGTGAAACAGGTATGAGGAATACAAAAGAAAAAGAACAAAACTGTTTCCTAAGTCACAAATAAAGACATCCTTTAGTATTTAAATAAACCACCAAAGAGTTTGAGAATAATTTTACAGGTAGAATGACAGCAGGTTGTTTGGGGGTTATACCAAAACAGCTGGAATAAAGCCTAAACTGTTAATCTCAGATAAGTTACCTTAGGCAATCCAATGTCATCCATGGCATTCAACCACTGAATCACGTTATCAGTGTGTCTGAAGTGCAGGCCAGTCGCCTAGAAGAAAAAAAACTCATTAGGTACCACTGGCTGTATTGAAGCAAATATTAAATAAAAACTCTCCTTGCAAAAGCTTCCTCATGAGATTTGACAAGTTCTCCTTAATTTTGAGGTCATTGTGCTCACATTCCAATACCAAAAAGCCAAATCCACATCTCAGCTCTTCTCACTTAGGAACCCCCTGGAGAGCCTTCCTGTGTACCGTATGCTTGACAGAACATGTGGTCTTTGGAGTTAAATTATCTTGGATTCAATTACTGGCTTAGTAATCTATGGTGACACTGGATAAGCCACTTCATCCTTTAGGGACAGAGTTTTACCATCCAGAACAGCTGCTTTTTGTGTATAAAGACTAAGTGAGATAATGCACATAAAGTAATTAGTATGGTGTCTGAACACAGAAGATATTCACAAAACGGTATATAAAAATATCACCCTGGGCACAGTGGCTCATTCCTGTAATCCCAGCACTTTGGGAGGCCAAGGTGGGTGGATCACCTGAGGTCAGGAGTTAGAGACCACCAGCCTGGCCAACATGGTGAAACCCGGTCTCTACTAAAAATACAAAAATCAGCCAGGCATGGTGGTGTGTACCTGTAATCCCAGTTACTTGGGAGGCTGAGGCAGGAGAATTGCTTGACCCAGGATGTAGAGGTTGCAGTGAGCCAAGACGGCACCACTGCACTCCAGAAGCCTTGGCAACAGAGCAAGACTCCGCCTCAAAAAAAAAAAAAAAAAAAAAAAAAAAAAAAAAATCAATCTGGGCTTTCATTCTATATATAGAGATATCCCCTCTGCCCCCTGCCTTTTTTTTTTTTTTTTTTTTTTGAGACAGGGCTCCACTCTGCTGCCCAGGATACAGAGCAGTGGCACAATTGGCTTACTGCAGCCTTACCTCCGGGGCTCAGGAGATCTTCTCAACTTTGCCTCCCAAGAGACTACAGGTATGTGCCACCAAGCCCATCTAATTTTTTTTCTATTTTTTTGTAGAGAGGAGGTCTCACTTTGTTGCCCAGGCTGATCTCAAACTCCTAGACTCAAGTGAGGTATCTCACCTCAAGCCCTCCAAAGTGCTGGGATTACAGGAATAAGCCACTGCACCCAGGCATTTTTTTAAAAAATTATTGCTGGAAAGTTTCCACTCTCCTTTTACACTATCTTCCCATTCTGCCTATAGAATAGCTCCAGAGTTGTCTCTAGAATAACTGTGTATTCAAAACTGAACACAGGGCTCGGCACAGTGGCTCATACCAGTAATCCTGGGACTTTGAGAGGCCAAGGAGGAGGAGAACTTAAGCCCAGGAGCTGGAGACGAATCTGGGCAACATAGTGAGACCCCCATCTCTACACTAAAATTTTTAAAAATTAGCCTGGTGTGGTAGCATGCTCCCACAGTCCCAATTATTACAGCTGGCCACCCTTACATCTGGTCTTAGTAATGCAATTCTCCACTATCTTTCATACTCATCCTTCTTCAAGTAAGAGTTCACAGGCAAGCTCCCTACAGAAGCTCCGTAGACAACAAAATTTGGTCCCTCTCAACATCCCCATTTATTTTTGGGAGTCAGAGTCTTGCTCTGTTGCCGAGACTGGGGTGCAGTGGCATGATCTCGGCTCACTGCAATGTCAGCCTCCCGGGTTCAAATGAGGCGAGTTAAGTTAAGGGTGGCCAGCTGTAATAATTGGGCCCAAACTCAGAATGAGTAAGCCTAATTCTCCTACCTCAGCCTCCCCAGTGGCTGGGATTACAGGTGCGTTCCACCAAGCCCAGCTAATCTTTGTAATTTTGGTAGAGATGGGGTTTCACCAAGTTGGCGGGATTGGTCTTGAACTCCTGACCTCAAGTGATCGCCTGCCTCAGCCTCTGAAAGTGGGATTACAGGCATGAGCCACCATGCCTGGCCTAACATCCCAACTTAATTAAGCAGTCTTCTTTTTTACAGGGCCTTGAACTCAGGAATCAAACCCACTCACTTATCTCAATTTTCTGAAACTGAATCACTTTCCCATTGTACCTTGCACTCCAGTATTGCAGGGTCATGTTTTTTCATAAAGTTGCCTTTACATTCAATTTGCCAACAAATCTCAGTGCTTAAAATTATTATTATTTTTTTAAGGAACAGTCGGGAGCGAAGTGGCACAATCATAACTTCCTACGGCCTCGACCTCCTCGGCTAAAGCAATCCTCTTGCTTTTTTTTTTTTAGACAGGGTCTCATTACATTGCCCAAGCTGGTCTCAAACTCCTGGCCTCAAGTGATCCTACCACCTTGGCCTTCCAAAGTGCTGGGATTACAGGTAAGAACCAGCAAGCCCAGCCTAAAATTAGATTTAAAGTAGTAATTCCCCTAGTTACTTCCTTTACCTTCTAAAGAATTAAAAAATTCATCTTCAACTAGGAAAATTTCTAGATATATAACATCATAAGAATTCTATCAGAGCCGGGCGCGGTGGCTCAAGCCTGTAATCCCAGCACTTTGGGAGGCCGAGGCGGGTGGATCACGAGGTCAAGAGATCGAGACCATCCTGGTCAACACGGTGAAACCCCGTCTCTACTAAAAATACAAAAAATCAGCTGGGCATGGTGGCGCGTGCCTGTAATACCAGCTACTCAGGAAGTTGAGGCAGGAGAATTGCCTGAACCCAGGAGGCGGAGGTTGCGGTGAGCCGAGATCGCGCCATTGCACTCCAGCCCGGGTCACAAGAGCGAAACTCCGTCTCAAAAAAAAAAAAAAAGAATTCTATCAGAAACACAAGACAGCTAAAGTTCTCTTCCTAGTATATCTTTTTTTGTGTGTGTGTGGGGGCTTTCCAGACTAATTCTAAAAGAGATATAACATTATTTTCCTACTGCATATTGCCTTTGCACAAATGTCTCCATTCTGCCAGGCATTGTAAAGGCTATACTTCATTCAAACAAACACACCTTACACATATTTCTCAACAAGTCTTACACAAAATAAAGCATACTAATTTTCTCAAGCTGACAGAAATCTAAGCCCTAAGCAGGGAGGGACTCACCTTGTATCTGGTCTGTTCTCGATCATAGATTTTTTTGAGGGACACCACTCTGGGAGAGAAGAAGTTCCCCAGTTTGGCGAGATAGACCCCATTCCTCAGCCCCTCCTCCAGTTCTGTGGTAGGGGGCAGATCTTCCCCGAGGCACGCTTCCATCCATCTGCACAAAAGGAGAGAGGATGTGAAAAAAATAGGGAAGGTCAGAACTTTTCCTTAGAGATTTTAAGCTTCATTTCCATTCTCCCTGGAGAAGCTTAAATTGAACGTAACAGTACTCTTTTACAATCAGTTTCACACACATCTTTGCCCTGGCCCAGTCAGATCTCAGAGGCAGGAACTTAGGAAAATTTCTGAGCACGAATGCCACTTTCTTCTGCACCCCGCTTTCCTCTGCTGCAGCAACACGGCCAGCTGCCTCCTGATCCCGACTGCTCCCTGCACCTCAGACCCTTTCCCTCAGTCCTTAAGTTACGCTTTAACAAATCCTAAGAAAAGTCATTTGTAACGGAAGCCACATCTCAACTGTTCAGAAGCTTAAATTTGTTGCTGATATTCTTTTCCAGTTTCAGAACTCAGAATCCACAGTGAATTTCTAGGTCCAGGTTTTAAGGTTGTTTGGGGGTTATTAAAACAGACTCAATTATCACAGCTAAAATACTAAAAGCTATGGAATCAGTAAATAATGAATTCTTAGATTTCTGGAGGCAGGGTGGAGGTTGTAGAAAGGATTGGAAAACTATTTTCCAAAAAAAAAACAAAGAATAAAATTTAAAAAATAAAGCTATATTTTCCCCTTCAAATACCTCTAAAGAAATTTCAAGAAAGCCTAAGATAAAAAAAAAAAAAAAAAAAGTTTAGTTACATGTATTTTCTACCAACAGAAACACAGGTAATGGTAATGGCTTTCTTTTCTTTTCTTTTTTTTTTTTTTTTTTTTGAGACACAGTCTCACTCTATTGCCCAGGTTAGAATGCAGTGGCGCAATCTCAGCTCACTGCAACCTCCACCTCCCAGGTTCAAGTGATTCTCCTGCCTCAGCCTCCTGAGTAGCTGGGACTCCAGGCATACACCATGCCCAGATAATTTTTGTATTTTTAGTAGAGACGGGGTTCTGCCATGTTGGCCAGGGTAATCTCAAACTCCTGACCTCAAGTGATCCACCTGCCTCAGCCTCCCGAAGTGCTAGAATTACAGGCGTGAGTCACTGCACCCAGTCCATGGCTACAGTTTTCAACCACTGTTTGGCCACAGAATCCTGTGAATATCTAAGGAAAGCTACAGACCCTTCCCCAGAAAAATATACATATACTTAAATTTTACATATGATTTCAGAGACATTATTGACTTTATAAACCCCAGATTTAAAACTCCTAATTTAAAATGATTCCACTCAATTTTTATTTTTATTTTATTTTATTTTATTTTTGAGACAGAGTTTCGCTCTTGTTACCCAGGCTGGAGTGCAATGGCGCGACCTCGGCTCACCGCAACCTCCGCCTCCTGGGTTCAGGCAATTCTCCTGCCTCAGCCTCCCGAGTAGCTGGGATTACAGGCACGCATCACCATGCCCAGCTAATTTTTTGTATTTTTAGTAGAGACGGGGTTTCACCATGTTGCCCAGGATGGTCTCGATCTCTTGACCTTGTGATCCACCCGCCTCGGCCTCCCAAAGTGCTGGGATTACAGGCGTGAGCCACTGCGCCCGGCCTCAATTTTTATTTTTTTTAGTTTTTATTTTATTCTATTTTTGTATCTTCAAATGAAACATCTGGTATTTTTTAGTTTTTTTTTAAGACGGGGTCTCACTCTGCTGTCAGTCTGGAGTGCAATGGCACAATCTCAACTCACTGCAACCTCTGCCTCCTGGGTTTAAGCAATTCTGCTGCCTCAGCCTCCCAAGTAGCTGGGATTACAGGCGCCTGCCACCGTGCCCAGCTAATTTTTGTGTTTTTAATAGAGTCAGGGTTTCACCATGTTGGCCAGGCTCGTCTCGAACTCCTGACCTCAGGTGATCCACCCCCCTCAGCTTCCCAAAATGCTAGGATTACAGGGATGAAACACCATGCCCAGTCTCTTCCACTCAAATTTCACAAGGCTGACATTATCCTTACATTCTTTACCATAACAGAAAAAAAAAAAATCTCCCAAATGCTAGATGTTGCCTGGTCTTTTTCAAAGTGATAAATCTTTGAAAAGCCAAATAAAAAAAGGTTCATGATACAGCAGACTGAAGTAAAAATCAGATTTACTGACACAGAAAAATGAAATATTTATGTTTATTACCACATAGAAATTTAAATTAGAGGCCAGATGCGGTGGCTCATGCCTGTAATTCCAGCACTTTGGGAGGCTGAGGTGGGCGGATCACTTGAAGTCAGGAGTTCGAGACCAGCATGGACAACATGATAAAATCCTGTCTTGACTAAAAATACAAAAAAATAGTCAGGTGTGGTGGCGGGCACCTGTAATCCCAGCTACTTGGGAGGCTGAGGCAGTAGAATCGCTTGAACTCAGGAGGTGGAGGCTGCAGTGAACCGAGGTAGCACCACTGCACCCCAGCCTGGGCATGACAGAGTAAGACTCCATCTCAAAAAAAAAAAACAAGTTTAAATTAAAAGGCAAATAAAGCTGGAGGAACTATCTATCTGAATATGCCATACACACAGACATATATATCCACAAAAACGCATAAGACACTATCAATAAAAATGTAGGCCAAATAATATGTAAATTGTATTTATCACATTTATGTGTTTTTACATATTCTTTTTTTTTTTTTTTTTTTTTGAGACGGAGTTTCGCTCTTGTTGCCCAGGCTGGAGTGCAATGGCGCAATCTCGGCTCACCGCAACCTCCGCCTCCTGGGTTCAGGCAATTCTCCTGCCTCAGCCTCCCGAGTAGCTGGGATTACAGGCATGCGCCACCATGCCCAGCTAATTTTTTGTATTTTTAGTGGAGACGGGGTTTCACTATGTTGACCAGGATGGTCTCGATCTCTTGACCTCGTGATCCACCCGCCTCGGCCTCCCAAAGTGCTGGGATTACAGGCGTGAGCCACCGCGCCCGGCCACATATTCTTTATAGTACTAAAATTGCTGGAAAGATGAGACTATAGAATGTCTGTCTATCATACTTTATAATTCAGAATAAAATTTCTTGTATTCTATCTTTTCAAACTGAGAATATGCCTCAGAATCTTTTTTTTTAAATAAAACAAGGTGAAACAACAATTATCCTATTTTTCTCAAATTCTATAGAATAGTCACTCAATCTTGCTTTTATTTATTCAATTTTGAGACAGTTTCACTCTTGTTGCCCCAGCTAGAGTGCAATGGCGCAATCTCAGCTCATTGCAGCCTCCGCCTCCCAGGTTCAAGCCATTCTCCTGCCTCAGCCTCCCAGGTAGCTGGGATTACAGGCGCCCACCACTGTGCCTGCCTCCATGCCTGGCTAATTTTTCGTATTTTTAGTAGAGTTGGGGTTTCACCAGATTGGTCAGGCTGGTCTCGAACTCCTGACCTCAGGTGACCCACCCGCCTTGGCCTCCCAAAGTGCTGGGGTTACAGAAGTGAGCCACCACTCCCAGCTCAATCTTGCTTTTAAATCTACCCTTCCTTTTAAGCAGCCAGCATATTCTCTAACACATGAAGGCTGATGGGGATATGAACAGGCCAGATAATTTTCTGGTTGTTTCCTATACTCAGTGACAAGCTTCTCTGCTTGGTTTTCTTTCTTTCAAGTAGCAGAACTTAAATGGTCAGAAATGGGGAAAAATGAAACAAATGAGTTTTCCAGAAGAGTTGTCATAATAATCAAACTAGATACCAATTTGAAATGGCTACAAAAATCTAAACTATAACTCTATTGAGCCTAAAGACTCAAAGACCAACGTGGAAAAGAATAGCAGTTGTTGGTATGGAAAATAGTGCAGTTCAAGGACACATCTCATCTTTTTACTACTGAAAAGGATACTGAGAAAATCATTCTGGCAAACAACTACTGGCAGCTCCAGCTCTCAGGGGACAATCTAACTTGGGCTCTCATTAACAGGGTCAAAGTGAACAACTGCAGCCTAAGCCAAAAATGGCCCTCAAGCACATAACAGTATCAAAAAAAAAAAAGTTACTTATTTTTCTTTTTAAAATGAAGTAAACACATAGGGAAAGCTATGGATACAGAGCACAATAGATACCTTTGCCTTGAATCAGAGCCAGTTACCAGAGGTGTTTAGTTTTTCCTCTTTTCTGGGATTTCTAAACTAAACTAAAAATAAAAAGAGAGACAATGGTGACATCGCCCACAATTCTTTTTATTTCCTTTCCCTAATCCAGCAGCTATAAAACAGTCCTGACTTAGATGTTTCCGATAGCTGAGTAGAATACGTTTCATGTAATACAGGTGTCATGTCAGAGAAAAAAGGCCAACTGTGATTTGGTGAAGGCGAGTAAGTAGAAAAAATGAGCTAGAATAAACAGGGAGGCAAAATACAGTGTTTCTAAACAACTGCTCCAAACTGAAGCTGCCCTCCAAGTCACCATACATGGGGCTTGCCCACCAATCTGAACTATTTCACAATGGAGTATCACCTGGTTTGTTTATAAGAATAAAACAGGCCGGGTGTGGTGGCTCATGCGTGTAATCACAGCACTTTGGGAGGCCGAGGCAGGTGGATCACAAGGTCAACTGATCGAGACCATCCTAGCCAACATGGTGAAACCCCGTCTTTACTAAAAAACACAAAAATTAGCTGGGCGTGGTGGTGCACACCTATAATCCAAGCTACTCGGAAGACTGAGGCAGAGCATCACTTGAACCTGGGAGGCAGAGATTGTTGTCAGCCAAGATCATGCCACTGCACTCCAGTCTGGTGACAGAGCTACACTCCGTCTCATAAAAAAAAAAAAAAAAAAAAAGAATAAAATAAGTCAGGACCAGGCAGGATGAGGTGGCTCACACCTGTAATCCCAGTACTTTGGGAGGCAAAGGCGGGTCAATCACTTGAAGTCAGGAATTCAAGACCATCCTGGACAACATGGTGAAATCCCATCTCTGCTAAAAATACAAAAATTAGGCAGCATGGTGGCATGCACCTATAGTCCCAGATACTTGGGAGGCTGAGATAGCAGGATCACTTGAATCCAGTAGGTAGAAGCTGCATTG